TGCCGTGGACTACAAGAAGCTGAGGAAGCTCATACTTGGGAAAAAGCTCGCGCCTTGCTTCGATGTCGTTGAGGATTCTGAGATCGCCGGCAATCTCGAAGAGTGCCCCATTTGCTTCCTCGTAAGAGAAGAAATTTACAGTTCTTTTCCCCTAGTTTTCTTCAGTTGGCTCAGTTTCGCTTAATCTCCAATTTTCCATAGTTGACCGTGTGATTCTTTAGATATCAGATATGCCTAATTTGTTGTTTGTTTGTGTTTTAATTACGTTTCTAGCTTTGTTTTTTTAAACAATTTTTTTTGCAGAAACCTTCATATTTTCTATTTCATTCTGATTTTTCATATTATTATAGCCTTTGTTTGAAATGAGAATTTGCTGTATCTGTAATCTCGCTAATTCAGAAGGGTATCGAATCATTTCCTCTACTTTTCTTCAAATTCTTCTATTATTTTGTAATTTACTCATTTTTCTCTGTTGGTGGTGCTGTGTGATTGGAATTTGTTAATACTCAAGCCGAGCAGACCAAGTCACTGTGTTTCTTCTTAATTTCCCAATATATTAATAAAATCCATACTAATATATGTCGTCATTCTTCTTTATCTCTAATTTTCTTCTTTTCCTTAAGTATTAGTATTATCCAAGCTGAACAGATTGAACTACATCCACTGGGTTGAAGACCTCCTGTCCTCTGAGCTCATCCTGCTAAGCGAGGGCTCTGATGGCAAAGTGAGGGATTTGATATCGGGAATGTGGCCAATTGCATCTACCCGCTCTTGGGCGCGTCCCTGTTAGGATGGAGCTTCGTTGGCTCAGATGGAACTCTCCATTCTTTCCTAGGGTTTATATTCTTGATTAAGCATTGACAGATACACGATGTATCAACTTGTTGTAGGAGTATTTGATATTGTTTGTTGTACATGTGGGTGGACCGCTTCTTACAACAATACTTTTGTTAGAGAAATATAGGTCGTTCAGAACTTTATAGTACATTGTGGAAGACTTTTGTAATATGTGAAGCTGTAAGACTAATCATATTATGTATTCAAACAATATTAGCTGTAAGAATGTAAAAAATTTTATGTAATATACTTGTTTAGCTGAGGTATACTTTTTTTGCTTCCCGATAAATATCTTGGTACTATAAAAACTTTTAATTGAATAATTTTGAGCTAATATTTTATTTGATTGTGTTAACTTTCAAAAGAAAATGTTGGCTTTCAACTGTACACGTTAACGTTCAGATTCTTTAGCGAACTTTTAAGTGAAGATATTAACTTTTAGCTGAGCATATTAATGTTTGATTAAAAAAGTTAACTACAAGTTGTACATGCTAACTTTTAGATGTATATGTTAACTTTTAGACAAACATGTTGCCTTTAACATGAATATGTTAACTTCCACTTGAAAACGTTAACTCTCAACTGAACATGTTAATCTTCTGCTGTGTATGTTAACGTTTAGCCGAACATGTTAATTCAACTTGAACATGTTAACTTTTACTTGAACATGTTAACTCTCAGTTGAATATGTTAACTTTCTGCTATATATGTTAACTTTCATTCTAAGATGTTGACTTTAACATGAACATGTTAACTTTCCATTCTAAGATGTAAGAAAATAATAATATGCTGCTACGAAAATAATAGTATGCTGCTACAAAAATGCTATTGTGCACTCAAGCAATATCAGCTGTAAGAATGTACGAATTTTTGTGTAATGTAATTGTTTAATTGGGATTTTCTATTTGTATTTCCTATAAAATATCTTGGTGCTAAAACTACTTTTCAACTGGATAACTTTCAGCTAAACATGTTAACTTTGATTTGACTACGTTAACTTTAAGATGAACATGTTGTCTTTCAACTATACACGTTGACTTTCAAATTATGTAGACTTTCAAGTGAAGATGTTAACTTTCAGCTGAATAAATTAAATTTAAGCTGAAAATGTTGGCTTTAACCTGAACATGTTAACTTTCACGTGAGCATGTTAACTCTCATCTGTATATGTTAACTTTTAAGTGTATACGTTAACGTTTAGGTTTTTATGCTAACGTTCACGTGAACATGTTAACTATCAGTTGTATATGTTAACTTTCATCTGCATATGTTAACTTTCTTATGATTATGTTAACTTTCAACATAATATGTTAACTTTTACTATTACATGTCTGCCTTCTTTATAACATGATAACATGCAACTGAATATGTTAACTTGTCAGATGTACATGTTAAGTATTGACTTTTCCTGTTGACATTCAAGTAAACATGTAGCTTTTCATTTGAACCTGTTAAATATATATTGTATCAAAACAAAACATAAACATATGGTGGAAAAAATACCAAAAAATACAATAAGAACAATAAACGTCAAGCTTGCTGCATTGTTTGTCATCCACAACAACTATTTACACAACTAAACTAATATACACAATACAGACATGCACACAAGTTTTGGTTCAACCAATCATTTTTTAGAACAACTTTCTCCCATTCTTATCAAATGTCTCTGCTTGATTCTTCTGTTGTCATTCTTCTATTAGAAGTTCAGCTACTAGCCTGACACAGATGACATCAGACTCAACATCGGGAGTAGTTACTTGATTCGTATCAACCCCATGGATTATAGCCTTCATATATAAGGGAACGAAAATTCCACAATCAAAACTGCATGATATAAAGTATCAAGCTAGTTAGATATATGATGCTATATAAAATAAAAAATATTAAATTTGTGAAATACTAACATTCTAGTCCTGTTGCTCGCAAGGGACGGCTTCATATCTGAACTTTCTCGTTAACATTCTGGGGATCAAATCCAGACTTCATATGATACAAGACCTGAAATTTAACAGTAACATACAAACATTAACAATTGCTAATAAACATGCACATGCAACAGTGAAAGGTAACATGTACAAGCAAACGTTAACATAAATGTCCATAAGTTAACATATAAAGGGAAATATTGACATTTATAAACAAACATTAACATGATTGAATAAAAGATGACAAATAACATGCAACCAAACATGAATGAGAGTTACTAGACTTACTGATAGAATTTCTGATTATAAAAATTTGAGACCTATCTGTTCTCATCTGGTGTGAGCTTTGCCGCTACATGATGAGGTACTCTAAAGTTGTGAATGAAGGTTCCTTCACTATCAACCAAGCGTATGCCAAAATCAAAAATATTAGGAATACCAACATGTTAACAACTTTAGAAGAGCCTCCTTCTTCTTGATTTTCTTGATCCACAAAATAGACCCCAAGACATGCACAAGGGGGATTTCTTAAATGTTCAACGCATGGTCCAAGAACTTTCAGCACGAATATGTTCTTTGATTAGAGAACCAATTTGATGCTCAAGTACATGATGATAAAAAAATTAACTCTTTTTAGTTGAATAGTGCGCTTGTCTTTTAAAATAATCAAGAAAGAAGTATGGCATCCCAGAAAGGAAATAAAGGAAAAAAACAAAAAATTAAGAAAAGAAGTCATCTCTTCTTCCGAAATCATCAAGTCTTGGATATTAAAGATAAGAACGAGAAAACACCAAGAATTGAAAAAAGGGTCCGAAACCCTAGCAACACAAAACTAATTAGGGCAATCAAAAGGAACAAAAACTTCTCCCAAAAACCCTAACTTTTTAGGAAGCTCACAAACCTGCAGTCCAATGTGCTGGAATTTCTCATGGTTATTGATGAAATTAAAAGAACGGCAGGGTTTCAAGCAGATCTCCCGCCTTCGAATATTGTTAACGCTGTTGACGAAAGAATTGACCCTCACCCGCTTTCTCGTCGAGATTCGCCGACCCGAGCACGGCCTCGGGCTCGCCAAGATCCACCGGCAAGTCACCATCTTGGCCCAAAAAATGGATCTAATGGACTAGAAATTAGGGTTTTGAATTTGAGTTTTCAAGATGACCAAGCTTTGAGCTTGAGAAGAGAGGTGAGAGAGAGAGGGCAGTTTTTGGTTTTCAAAATAAGTTGCTCTTTGTGCTGTCTAGGAAATGAAAAAGGGACTGAAACATCATTACTTTATGTATTGAGGGCTTTGGTACAAAAAAAAATACGGGGGCCTGCTCATATCCTCTTTATTTTTTGGGGGGGCTAGATACATTTTTCCCTTCTTGTTTACTTTTCATGCTTAGTTTTTCTTGCTTAATTTAGGAGAAATTTTAATTTCATGCTTGGATAGTTAGTTTATTTTCTTCCTTTTTTTCTTGTCTGGTATTTTTATTCATGCTTTCTTTATTTGCTCATAATTTAGTATTTAATAAAATGTGTGGCTAATATACTTAGAATAATTAGGATAAGAAGAAACTAGTATAATTTATTTATTAAAATTAGATATGATCTCTTTTATGTTCTAATTATTTATGTATAGATTAATCAATCAAAATAATAGTTGATAGAATATTCTAATTTGCTTGGTTATACTTTCCTTTAGTGGTTTGATAATTTGAGCTTACTAGTATTCTAGAATTATTATTTTCAATTGATTGTCGATACATGAATTTCATTTTATTTTTAGAATCTATCTTGATAATCTATGCTTTCTTTAATTAGATTGATAGGTTATGTTTGTTAACTATAAAAAAATTAAAAAGAAAGTAATTTCTAAATCTAATAAATAGTTATCTAATGGAATCTATTTTAATTTCCTAGTTTAATTCTCTTGATCTCTCTTTTATATTTCTTCTTTCTTAGTTTTTTTAGTTGGTATCTTTTCCTTTATTTTCTATTTCTTTTGATTTTTTACATTTTATTTCCCGTTCTTTTTTACCTCTATTTTTTTTGTTGAATATAGCTTGCATTGAAATAATGCTAATTTAATTAAGATCGAAAGTTTGATTTTGACCGGGAAGATAAATTATAATTAGAATTAAATTCTAATGGGAAGGAACTAGACTTCGAATAATTCTAGAAAGCATCGAGACAATGGAATTCTAAGAGAGTAAGATTTACAGAAGGCATCATGCGAAAGAATTCTATAAAGATTAGAATTGGTTAAAGAAAGGAATCATATATGAACTCAAAATAAGAGAAAGAGAAATTTATAAATGCCCTTGGGAGACTCATTATAGAGGCAGCAAGCCAAAGAGAGGGAAAAAAAAGAAAGAAGGATCTTTAGCAGCGAATTCCCATACAGATAGAGGCACCTATCAAAATGATACTCCAGAATACAAAGTTTATTTTCTTTTGAACCCCAAGTATACAATACAAAGTGCATGGCTAGAAACAATAAAGTATCCAGCTCTACATCCACTCAATACTAGAGCCAAAACTTTATCCTAATGGTTTATCATTATTGTGTTTGGGATCTATATGGGATAATTTTACAATTTTATACTTCAGCAAAGTCATGCCTAAATTCTAGTAATGTCATAAATAGTAAATACAAGTAAAAGTAAATAAAAGTACATATGTAGCTCTGTCATTATGTAACCCCGCCGCTACTTATAGTATGTAACTATACATTCTATAGTGTATAGCTTTATGTCCTATATGTACATTCAATTTATAGTATTAGATACTACTGATTGTGTGCAGCTAGACACTTTATACTCTATATTTGGGTTTAAAGATAAATAAATTTTGTACTTTTGCGTATATGTGAACAGGTAACCATGTGGGTCTTTAAGTAAGTAGGCGTAAAACTTTGGGTTTATAATAACACTCCCTATTGTTTATTGCTCAAGTTCTTGCAAAATCGGAAAGCCTGTTACACGTAACGATGTCTACGTCATGGGTCCAACTAGTCAACACTAAAATTTGTGAAGCTACAAAAAAGGTGTATGTTAAAAGGGGCTGTCTGGTTCATCAAAACTTTTGGTATTTGGGGTGGATTATAAAGAAGGAATTTTTACTGTAGACTCATTCTCATATTTAATCCCTAAAACCAATCTGCTTTAAAGTTATTTATGAGAATCGGCCCACTTTGAATTAATTGCGATACTAATTAGTAGGGGTTGTCAACCCCAACTAATTAGTAGCCTAATTAGCAGCCGCAAACCTTCCCTGCTCCCTGACCCCGCTTGTAATTAGACTACTAATTAGTCGGGGTTGGCAATCCCGACTAATTAGTATCGTAATTAACTCAAAGTGGATCGATTTTCATAAATAAATTTAAAATGGGTCGGTTTTAGGGATTAAATCTGGGATTGAGTCTACAGTGAAAATTTCTTCGGCTTATAAATTCTAGGTGTCATAAGTGTCATTTTTTAGTTTTTTTAGATTATACTTGTTCTTTGTTTCAGTAAAAATTTTGAAATGTTAAATCCCTTTAAATGCAAAAAAACTAAGTTTTTTTTTTCAGAATTTGCCAAATCTCATGAATTGGAGAGGATTTATCAAATTCTATTAATTGGTATGGTTACCCCAATTACTAAATCATTGTATCGTTCTCGTGTGGGGAGGTAAGTTCACTAAGGAAAGCATACCCACCTCTCCTTTTTTTTACAATTGAAACAAGCAATAGATTATAAAATTTAAAATTTGTTATCCTACAATTTTGGGTTTGAATCAAACAAGAGATTATAAAATTTAGGATTTATTTTCTTATAATATTATTGAACCAAACAAGGTATGCAAAAATCCCAAAGCATGTATAAAACCCTATAGATTTGAAATTTCCAATAAGATTATAAATTCTAAAATTTTAGGATTTGAATAAAACAGCCCCAAAGGCTATTTTATATAATTACCGCTTCGTGTCACGTGTGTTTGTTGGACCCTCCAGGCTTGCTGAAGCAAACAGCTCTGAGGAAAACATGCGGGTCTCTAGGCCTTTCTTGTAAAGAAAGGCGAGGAGAACTACTGAGGAAGGCGTGTGAGTTGTCCGTGTCTGCTCCATTAAATTGTTGTACATTAAATTTTTTTGTTAAGTTGTTTCATATAGATTCCTCTACTTGCTAATTCTACTCTTGATTTGAAGGACTAATATCGAAGTAACTTAAGGGTCGAGAGACCAAATAGCAATTCCAATAATTTGAGAGACTAATTTTAAAAGACCTAACAGCAATTTTAGTGATTTGATGGGACTAATTTCAAAATATGAAAATATTTAAGGGACTATTATAGAAAAAATACCTACCTGGTTATGGTTACTTGGTGGATTATTTACACTTTGGTACCCAAAAGTTTCCGCACATTTTACCTTGATGGCTCAAAATATTTTTCTAACACTCCGGTACCCTTAAATTCCAATCCAGTTTCACTTTCATATATTAAAGTATTTTTTAACACTTTGATCCCCCAAAGTTTCAGTCACATTTCTCTATTATACGTCGTTCAAATTCTTTTAGATTTTCATTAAATTTAAATGACACCCGGTATCATGCGATGCATTTGGATCAGCTTTATCTAGTCATGTAATAAAAATTACGTGCCTCGGATTTTCTATTCATCAATGTATCTTTATGAGTTATAATAGAGGCTGTTGCGCTTATAATCTACTTCTTATTAACTAAAAGAGAACACTCAAAAAACACTTATGAACAGTAAATCTGATCTGCACCAATCAGATTATTCATAACATAAAAATAAGCATAATCCACGTACTCAAAATAAGCATAGATAAAACTTCCACGCCCACGTTCTAATGTTCCGTCTTCTTTTAACCGTTAACTTATTTGAACCGAAACTTCCCACCCACGATTTTTCAACTCCATTTCCCCCCTTCCTACCCTCTCTGCCCTCTCCCCGAACACACGAGGTCTCTGTCCTCATCTCCTCCTCCCCCTCCTCCACCCATTCCCCCGCCACCTCCTTCAAAGACCGCCTCTCTTTGCAGAATCCAACCGAGCTTGAATCCCTCTCTTACACACATCTTCTATCATGTCCAGACCCCCCTCTCTCTCCGGTGCCCACTTTTCACAACCGACGATCCTAAATTTCTCTTTCGTTTCCTTATAAATACGCTAGGATCTAGGGTTCTTTACTCCATTATTACGCGGGTTTGAAAGTATGGGGCTTTTGGTTTTAGTCTCTCTCAATTTCAATTTCCAATTTTCGAATTCTAGGGTTTCGGATAATCGCGATCTCGAGATGGTTACTCGGGCGGTGAAGAGGGGAGCGAAGGCGAGGGCGACGAAAGGAGCGAAGGCCGCCGCAGCCGCTACCTCGACGGAGGTTGAGAAGACGGCGAAGATGGAAGAGGAGACGGTGAAGGTCGAAGAAGAGACAGTGACTGAGACAAAGGAAGAGATGAAGGTCGAAGAGGTCGGGATCGAGGAGGAGAAACCCTCGGTTGAAGAATCAGAGGCCGAGAGCTCTGTAAATGCGGAAGGTAAAGTTTTTTTTTGTTGATAGATGTAAAATTAGTAGGGCTTTGCTTTGTTTTTAGTGAAATTTGTTTTTTTTCGTAGTGTTGCATTTTGCTTAATTACTTACTTGATTGTTGCTAATTGTTTGCTGATATTTGTTTTAGATACGTAGTGTTGCATTTTGCTTAATTACTTACTTGATTGTTGCTAATTGTTTGCTGATATTTGTTTTAGATATGTTTTTCTCATTTCAAATTGTCCACTTACTTGATTGTTGCTAATTGTTTGCTGATATTTGTTTTAGATATGTTTTTCTCATTTCAAATTGTCCTGCCTAAGATAAATGTTTCTCCTTTGCATGCTTCTTTTTTACTTTAGGGTTTTACCTTACATTAGACCCTAAATTCTTTAAGCTTCATATTTATAACTTGCACTCAAGATATAGGAAATTGTTAGAAATAACACCTTTTAAACGTAGAGTTTGGCCGTAACATCTTTCTTAATTTTATATAAGGCCCTCATCTTTATATTTCTAAAGAATACCTCAAATCTATTAATTACATGTATTAACCATACTATGGTAATGATTATGGATGAAATAAGGCTCTAATATGGTCAAAAAAACAGTTTTTAACTTTCTTATTTTTCTCTTTACTATCTCACAACTTTTGGGTTGACATTGTTTCTCTTTAATTCTTATGTTTTCATCAAGGATTATATTTTCACTGTACTCCCTTATGTGTGCAAATTCAAGCAATAAATATTCCCTGGATGAAGTGACATCACAGACCTTCTTGGTGTTTGAAGTTAACTAAATGTTTTTAGTAAATGTGAGGATGATTGTTTAAACCGAGCTCAATATGGCTGCTTTTTCAATATTTTGGTGTGTTGAATTCCACGCTTCTAATATATAGTTGATTGCCAAAGGGATTTATGTGTTTTTGCCTGGATATTTTTCCCTTCTACGTGATCTACAAGTTATGAATCTTTTCTTTATTAATAAAAGTCATTTGTTTAATACTATTACATGGAACAATTAATTTGAGTCAAAACATATTGGATAAAATCATAAAGAGCCATTGGTTAATATCAATGGCTACAACCAAGTTGCGAATTTTTTTTAGAAACCGTGCTTTGCACAGGTCTAAATACTAGTATCTTATAATAGTGGATGATTCTTGAAAATTTATTTATAGGTACTACGATAATGCCCTGTTTGGATGGAGGGTAGAGAGGGGGAGGGGAAGAGAAATGCGGCTTTCACCTTGTTTGGGAGTTTTTTTAATGAGGGTAGAGAGGAGGAAGGAAGGGGAACGGAGGGTAAAATTGCTTGGTTTTCTTTCCCCCCGATTTGGGCGGTAGAGGAGGGTAAAGGAGGGTAAAAGGGTGTAATGACATTCTTACCCCCATCAAAACAAATAAAAGGGCTGATGTGTTATTAGTATAAAGTCATTTATGTAAATTTACATATATTTACTTCCTTTCACCTTCATTCACCTTACTCAACTCCCAAACAACATATTATAATTCTCTTACCTTCCCTTCCCGTTGTTTACCTTTCCTTCCCTTCCCGTTGTTTACCTTTCCTTCCCTTCCTTTCCCTTCACTCAGTTTCCCTTAACTTCCCTTCACCCCCTACAAATCCAAACAGGCCCTAAGGGTCTGTTTGGATTTGTAGGGGGTGAAGGGAAGTTAAGGGAAATTGAGAGAAGGGAAGGGAAGGGAGTTCCCTTCCCCTTGGTTACACCCCAATTTGGGGGTAACAAATTTTATGCTATTAGGGGGTGAACCAAGGGGAACTAGGGTGAATTAACTTCACCTCCTAAATGTTCCCAAACAAGATGAATGGAAGTGAATGGTTCCCCTAACTTCTCTTCACCCTCATTCCCCTCAATCCAAACAAGCCCTTGTGCCTGTTTGGATTTGTAGGGGGTGAAGGGAAGTTAAGGGAAACTGAGTGAAGGGAAGGGAAGGGAAGGAAGTTCTCTTCCCCTTGGTTACACCCCAATTTGGGGGGTAACAATTTTTATACTATTAGGGGGTGAACCAAGGGGAACTAGGGTGAATTAACTTCACCTCCTAAGTATTCCCAAACAAGGTGAATGGAGGTGAATGATTCCCCTAACTTCCATTCACCTTCATTCCCCTCAATCCAAACAAGCCCTTAGGGCCTGTTTGGATTTGTAGGGGGTGAAGGGAAGTTAAGGGAAACTGAGAGAAGGGAAGGGAAGGGAGTTCCCTTCCCCTTGGTTACACCCCAATTTGGGGGGTAACAAATTTTATACTATTAGGGGGTGAACCAAGGAAAACTAGGGTGAATTAACTTCACCTCCTAAGTGATCCCAAACAAGATGAATGGAGGTGAATGGTTCCCCTAACTTCCCTTCACCCTCATTCTCCTCAATCCAAACAAGCCCTTAGTAAACTCCCAAACACACCCTAAGTAAAACTGTTCCGGCGTGGGAAAATTCGCAAAGCTCTCTGCCGCTTCTCTCCATCAAAATGGCGACGGCGGCTACTTCCCATCTTCCCCAAATCTCCCCGCCCTTCAACAAAAATTGCAAAAGCGCCACCCATTTCACCTTCTCCAGCATAAAATGCTCCGCCTCCAAAACCCTAACCCCTACACCAAGACCGTAGGCCATAGATCCTCCCCGTCGTCGAAACGCCTAACCGCCTTCGCTCGCCGCCACCGTCGCCAACACTCGCCCCGGTTCGATTTCCTCGGGTGCGCCGTAACACCCTCGCGACACCGTCACCATCTCCGTGGACCCGGGGTCGAGCCTGGAACGATCTCGATCTCATCCATCACCGGCGCTCCGAAGCTCACCAAAACCCTAATTTCAACTGCGCGGGATCGCCGCCATCGCTGCGATGAGGATGCTTAAGGTTAGATCTGTCGCCTCTCGCTCTCTCTTCACAAAGGGCTACCCTGTGTCCGGCCTCGCGCTCCTCCGCCGCCTCGGCTGCCGCTGCTGTAGCCGCGGTCAATGCTATTTTTGGCAACCCTCTCGATCCTTTGGATCTTATTCTCGCTGGGTTGGAATCAGAGAAGAGAGTTAGTGGATATCATGCGGACAACATTGCTCCGGCGATCCTTGGAGGTTTTGTGCTGGTTCGAAATTATAATCCGTTTGAGATCATGCCGTTGGTGTTTCCCGGTGATAAAGATCTGTTCTTTGTGCTTGTAAGCCCCGAATTCGAGGCGCCAACTAAAAAGATGAGGGAGGTTCTACCGGGTGAGATTGGGATGAAAGACCACATTTTTAATTCGAGCCAGGCTGCAGCACTGTGGCGGCTTGTGGTGGGAGGAGATGTTAGGGTATGGGGAGTCAATGGTGAGTGATAGGCATAGTGGAGCCGCGACGGGCTGGGCTTATACCGGGGATGGAGATGGTGAAGAGGGCGCGTTGAGGCGGGGGCATATGGGTGGCACGATCAGCGGGCGGGGCCCACGGCGGTGGGGTGATTGATGAGGAGGAGAAGGGGAGGGAGATTGGGAACAGGATGGTGGAGGCTTTCTTGGAGGGGGAGGGTTGAAGGCGAGGGCAACAGTTGCGAGGTTGGATCGAGTTGGGGCGAGGGTTGTTAGTGACGATTGAGAAGGTAAATATCATCATGTTTATACTTTTGATCATCTTAAGGATTTATTTTTTCAGATTCTAGAATATATGCTTAATTTTTGAACGAAGGGAAATGTTTGGGTGTTGAAGACATGCAATTGTGTATAAAGCTTGAGTCTAACTTTCACCAGGAAACACATATTTATTAATAGATAGACAGACATAAACACACTATTTCTCATGTATTAGTCATACTTCACCCATCAATAGAAGTTTAAAGCAGTTGTTTACATCCATTTTTGGATGAGCCACATATTAGATACAGTCAGTCATCTATAAATTCTTAGTCAGCCATGCAACTTATATCTATCAATTGCTGTATGTGAGCTCTTGAGCGCCATCTTGCTTATTTTTAGCCTCAAAAAGATAAATAAATACTAATAATAAATTAATTATAATACATTAAAATGAAATTATTACAACAATAACATTCTTATAAGCAATGTTACAGAAGGTCTTAGGCAGACTAGGCGTTTGAGCCAGTGCCTAGCACCTAGATGTATGCCTAGGCGGCACCCAGACGTTTGGCTATTTTTTAAATTATTTAATTATAATAATTGATAAAAGTATGTATTACATTCATATAAATTTGCAAAAAAAAAAAGCAATCTTAGATCCACAATAACCCATGCCTATTAAATGCTAAATAGCTAAAGTAATAACTAGCAAGGTTATAGAAAGTGCTAGGAGACCTAGTCATTGGACCCGTCGTCTAGAGTCTTGGAGGTTTTTTTATTATAATAATTGATAGTAAATATTAATGTTATAGAAAGCTTAGGTGCCGACATTGTATCTTAGCGGATTTATTTCTTCATTTAAGTGGTGGCCGAAGAGGCTTTGCTAAAGGTCGGAGGAGGTAGTGGAGGTGTTCATATTTAGAGGTTAAAGGAGTTTGTAGGAGGTTGGAGGACGTGGAAGCTGCAACACAGAAAATCATGATCAATGCGTAAAGGGTGTAGTCCACGTAAGCAGACAATGCTCCTCTAAACATTCTCAAAATCTAGGTGGGTAGCCTAGATACCGCTTGGGCGCTAGGTGCTCGTTAGGCGGCGTAGGTACTGCTTATGCCTAGGCTACGCTTAGGCGGACTAGGCGGAGGCTTTATAAAACAGTGCTTGCAAGTTTCTGTAGTAGAAGTGCTGAAAAATCCTTGTATTAGTTTCATTTCCATTCCATGAGAAAATTTAATGCATTTTTTCCTCTACAAAAACATCTTGTCAGAGTGAACTTGGTACTTGATACAAAATCATTGAGCATAATAGTCGATGTGCATAAAATATAACCTTATAGCTAAGAATATGCATGCAGTCAAGGTATACCACTTGGAGTAAGGCTTTGTTTTGAAAGGAGCATGCTTTTCTCTGCACGTTTATTTGATGGCTACAGTTTTCTCAGCTATTGTGTTTTACTGATTGCGGGTGTTTCTCATGAGTTTTTATCTAATCTCATAAATCCTTCTTTTATAGAAAAAGCGATGATGTTGATAATCTTAATCCCTGTCTAAAGTTAAAAACTTAAAACAGACACAACATCAAGTAGTTTACTTGACATCCATGCTAAAATTCACGGTTTAATTTTCTGAACCATCAGTGATCTGTCTATTGCAAGTCTCGGTTATGTTTAGCCTTTTTAAAAAAAAAACAGAAACCAAAACAAAACCAGAAACAAAAACAAAAAACAAAAGCAATTTTTTTTAAATAATCACTACAATCTCATTCTTCCATGTTTCTGTGTTAGGAGTCCAGCAAAATCCTTGCATTAATGTCATTTCTATTGCATGAAACATTTTAATGCATTTTTTCTCTTCAAAAATGTCTTGTTAGAGTGAACTTGGTACTTGATATGAAATCATTGACCATAATAGTCGATGCTCGTACACTATAACCTTATAGATAAGAATACATGGCCAGTCAAGGAAGACCACTTAGAGCTGAGACTTTGTAAAGGAACATGCTTTTCTCTACACGTTTATTTGATGGCTAAGTTTACTCAGCTTTTGTGTGTTACTAATTGAGGGTGTTTGTCATGAACTTCTATACAATCTCATAAATCCTCCTTTTATAGGAAAGGCGATGATGTTGATTAATCTTTATCCCTGTCTAACCCGTCTAATGTTAAAAACTTAAAATAGGCACAGCATTGAGTAGTTTAATTTCCTGAACCGAGTTTTCTGTTCATTGCAGGTGTCAAGTAATGTGTCTGCAATCTCCAAGTAGATGGATGTGAATCGTGATTGTTGTGATTAGACAAGAAGCTGTATTATCATTATATGGTTGAGAACCACTCTCACGATCTCGTGCAGTGTACTTCTTTTCTGCATACAAGCGGCTTGGAGATGCTAAATGGTGCAGGTTGTGGCTTGGAGATGCTAAATGGTGCAGGTTGTTGCTGAACTTCCATTGCTGTTGCAGAAAAATAAGCGTGTAGGAATTTTGCATGTGTATCTGTTGTAGCGAGAATGTTCCTTTGGTTCACCATCGGGTTTGTATCTCAATTATTTTTTTCCGGAATAATTTTAAGTTAAGTTGGATTTCTTTAGTTGTTCTATATCATCAATTATTACCATACTCTATTTTGATGTCAAACTCATGTTCGAGACGAATTAATAAATGTTCAAGGAATCCTGATTGAATACTGAATATGAGTTTGCAGACAAGTTTGTTTAAATTATTTGACTGATTGCATGTTTTCACGAAATTTCATTATAATGTCTATCTAGGCTAATGGGAGCATTAACGAAATCAAGGGTGGGAAGCCAGGATCTCTTGAAATTCTTTGATATTTTAAATGCATGTTGTTGTATTTTAGCTATTTTTGAAGGAAACCATAAATATGTAATATATACTGAAATAAGATTTTTTTAATCATATTAGAATCAAGTTGTGATATTACCGAACTTTTAGTATATTTTTTGCCCAAGCTATAATTAATCTATTGATATCTACTGCACACTATTTGATGGGCAAGAAAGTTTCGAGTACTTTTAAATGTTTCATTTTACCTAATGCAACAATTAGAAAATGTTTGGGACCAACATCAAAGACTCGATTCCAAAGCCATCAATGAATCTAGTCGCTCTCATCTGCAACCCCATGATCAACTATACCGGAGAATACTCGGAGGACTTATAGTGATGCAAAGAGGGGGAGAAAATAGGGGAGCAAAAATACTAGTCCCCTCAACTTAAATAAAGGTCGCATGAACACAAACCATCCAACATGTGCTCTGTGTCAAGTTCGTAAGGATTATATAACACTTAAATGCCCTATAGTTTCACCAACATTGCACTTAAGTGACCCATTATTTAAAACCGAGCAAATAAATACCCCAAAGTTAAAACAATCCAGATATTGTTAACAATTCTCTATGTATGCAAGAATATCATATAACATGGGGTACTAAAGTGTAACTTTTAGAAACTTTTAAGGGTATTAAAGTAAGGCTATTTACGAACTGATGTTGTTTATATGCAATATTGGCCAACAAGGGGACAACAGCGTGCGATATTAAGTAAGTAAGAGGGCATCAAAGTGCAATATTTTAAACTTTGAGGCATTTATCTGCAACATTTAAATACGATGGGGCACTTATTCGCCCGGTTTTAAAATAGAGGTCAATTGAGCGCAGAGTTAGTGAAACTATATGGCATTTAAATGCAATTTAGCCGGTTAGAAAGTGTACATATCGACATGAGTTTTGAATTTTACTGCATTATATCTATTTGTGTCTAACTGTATAATTAATTTCTCTATTTATCGCATTCCCCAAGGACCCAAAATATGAGACCAACAGGGAGGACATGTGAGGTGCTCCCCTCCTATTGCATAATGAGCTGACCATCATTAATGATGATCATCTCATTATACAATAGGAGGGGGACACCTCACCTGTCCCTCCAATTGGTTCCATATTTTGGGTCCCTGTAGCAAAGCTCTTATCGCTGGGTCATTTGTTTGTGTTTAGCTGTTTCATTCATTAGTCTATTTACTTGCAAGGGCCAGACAAGCAGCTCAACCATATCTGCCCTCAACTTAAATGCCTAACAACCCCTTTTACAGCACACCAACCCCAGCACCACCACCCCCTACAGAAGACTTCGGTTACCTTCTTCACAAATTTTCATTCTGCAACTACTCTATATCCTTAACTTAATACACAGCCAACCGCTTCACAAGTACCCCCAAGTGAGCAAGTAAAAAAGAGTCTTCACCTTATCAAGGCAAGTTGACAAGGGAAATATTTGCTTCAACATGACAGAGTTAAGAGAGGCCGCTCAACAAATGCAACAAGACTGGATTCGAAAGTTGAAGGATATCAATATTCATTGCACCGTCACATTCTATAACAAATTGGATAATGGCTTTGCTGCTGCTGTTGTTGTCGTCGTCGTCATCCTCGTCGTCACATTCTATAACAGATGTTGGCAACCCTTACAGAGCAGAAATTTCAAAAGTACAAACAGTGATGACAAATATCTATAAGTTCACTATGAAAATCTCTAACAATATACTTGCTTCTGTAAAAACATTAGTTCAACAAATAAAGTTCCAAAACTTATTTTCAACAAAAGAGAGCTCAAGTTGCAGCTTCAACTTCATCAGATGCTACTGCTGCACCATTCGGATCATCCTCAGCTCTAAGCTGAGACGAGACATCATCGATGGCAGAGTTGAGTTGTGCGATTTTCTCCGTCAGTATCTTGCGGGTTCTCTGTTTTATTTCCCAATTAGATCATCAGTGATTGTTAGTCAAAGTTTAGACATGAAGCAGCTAAAGTACATGTGAAACTAGCAAAAAATTGTCTAGAGATAATATGTGGTTCCGTACCATGAGAAACACTTTTCCATTATTGAAAAGATTCAGTAAAACCAATAGGAAAAAGGCACCTGAGATCTTTATTCAAAATGTCTTTCTTTTGTGTCTTTTGCTCCTTTTACTGAATGCAAAATCCTAAGGCTATACTTGCATTACCCATTGCTGAATAGGAATATATGACAATTACTAAGGCAGTATACTTTATGATTGAGAGTTTACTTCGTGCATTTAGTTTAGATGAGGAGTTGACTATTTATCGTGATAGTCAAAGCTGCTACCGAGTTAAACAAAAAACCAGAAATATTATGAGAGAACGAACGTTGTTGAAAGACGTAACTCTATTCTTGTGAAGAAGGTTGCTACTGCAAATACTCCAGCTGATGTGTTGACAAAGCCTCTTCTAGTCATCAAGTTCAAGCATTGCTTGGACTTGATCAGCACGTTCCACGCTTGATGCCCTTCAGGGCATTTGGAGGATGTGGATTTTTTTTTTAAATGAGGCATTTTCTATGTATTGGACTCAAGGTACAGATTAATTGTTGGATGACTCATATAGACCAGAAATCCATTAACCCAAACACAGAAGTTATTTTTTGGTTTGACAAGGATTTGGCATAATATGCAACAGCAGATCTGTGTGGGGTTATTTGAATTGGTATTAAATTTGTTAATGAGTGCAGAGTCTTATTCTGAATAGGATCCAAAATCTGAATCCAATAAACTTTGGCACCACCATATACTTTTCACTCGATGCTAATAAACGTTCCGTCTCTTTGGTGTGTTCTTGATGTTGGCTAAAAGTGAATCCACTATCCCACTTTTGCCTCTAATTTTGGATTATCAAATATCCTATATATGATTTGGATAGCTAGAGTGAGAAAAGGTGTAGAAAGGTGTACATGATCATAATGGAAAGAGCAACACACGAAAGAAAGTATATCCACACAGTATGTGCCTAGGAAAACAAGTGTATATCTTATACAGCATAACTGAAGATATTTCTTATCTAATCTACAGAAACCCCAACTCGCTATTTTTAATATTCAAATTTATATAGTCTTCAATCAAGTAAATCAATTCTCGGTCTACTTTGGGGCATCACAAAGCATGAGCTTTCAGCAAATGTCACATTCACATTTTCTCTTCTTGCATAAATAACTCCGCAACATGAGTAACATGAAACTAACAAATTCTTTTTTTCTTTTTCTTAATGATCTGGTTATAAAAGGGAACTGTAGAAGTGCTTGAAAATAAGTACACTAGCCCCTCTAGTTTTGGAAGCAAAGGTTTTTCTCAAACTCAATATGGGCGAGTGATGAATATGCATAACAGACCTGACCAAATTTTTTTCCATTTCTTTTTCGCCAAATGCCAAGCCTTATGATTACATATGACGGATGGGGGGGTATTATGATATGAAAAAACTATGCTACAGTCTCCTATTTTTACTGAACGGAACCAATCATGTATTTAAACAGAATGGTGTAATCATCAAAAAACTTATGTTCAAAGATAATAACATTATAGTCACTGACATGGTGAAAGGCTCACCTCCAAAGCTTTTTCCTCATCATATATAAATTTCGGCAGCTTCCTCATCAAATCCTTCTTATCAGTCCCAGCCAATGCTCTAGTGATCTGAAAAGAGAGAACAAATTTCAAACAGAAGGTGATAAGTACTTGTATCATGAAGCCGTACCCGTGCCCGACACGTACCTGACATTTAACCCATACCCAAACTTCATGGACACTCCTTAGATATGTGCAAGTACTCAATTTTACGATATATGTTTTAATTTAAAATACTTTTCATACACTTGGATGCATATCCTACACTTCATGTCATATCTTGAAACTCGTTAGACATGGGGCCAGTTGTTTTAGCCTATATCCAAGTTAAAAACTATGATTTAAAAGGATGGTTTAAGCGTCCAGTTAAAAAACAAGCAGTTTCCAATTTATAATAATCAACATAATAAAAAAACTTAAAAATATGATGAAATTTAAATTCAAATAGCACAACGACAACATCAAAATATTTATCCCAAATGTTTAGGGTCGGCTGCATGAATCCTATTCTTTCATTCCATTCTATTATGGGACATCTCCTTTGTTAAGTTAAACATAATCATATTCTTCTTAATTGCTTCCAACCAAGTTCTTTTATGTCTACCTCTAGATCTCGTAGCCCCATTAACTATAATACTATCATTTTTCCTAACCGGTGCTCTAAGAGGTCTCCTTTGTACATGACCAAACTATCTTAGTCGATTGTCTCTCATTTTATTCTCAATAGGAGCAACATCTAATTTACTACGGATGCACTCATTTATTATCCTATCTTTTAGTGTATACCCACAAGACCATGGCAATATTCTCATTTCTTCTACAGTCATTTTTCATACATGTTATTTTTAAATTGCCCAACATTGACCCAAAAAGCATTGTTGGGCTTACAACCGTCCTACAGAATCTTCCCTTTAGTTTCATTAGTACTCTATGATCATATAAGACTCCCGAAGCACTCCTCCTTTTCAACCAACACAAATGATTCGGTGGACATCATTCTCAATCTCACCATCATGCCGAATGATTGATCCTAAATAGTAAAAATAATTAATTTTAGATATTTCTTAACCATCAATATTCAGTATAGGCTCTTTTTTTCTTAGTTTTACTAAAAATGCTCTCCATATATTCGTTTTTGTTCTACTAAATTCAAATAGCACATGAATTGAAAAATAATAATGACCTCATGTAAATTACTAATTTTCGATATATATATGTATATGTGTGTGTGTGTATGTGTGTGTAGCTGTGTCCTCATACCCTACATTTCACAGATTTGCCGTGTCCAATGCCCGTACCCACACTAGTATCCATACCCGTTTCCATGCAACTTTGTGCACCACAGTACATTCTCAAATGAATGTGGGACAGTATAACTTCCACCATCGAATGTGTCTGCTTTTAGAGAGAATTTACCAACCAACTCATTTAGATAGCATCAATAGGGCAGGTGGGTGGAGGTGGTAAGGGAGATTTAAAAAAGAAACCCCCTCTACCAAAAGGCAAACACATTTTAGCACATTCAATAAGAATACTCCTGTATCAGATGCAAATAGCTAATTCTAGTGCACAAGCTTGTGTTAACAGATCAAAAATATTCAGAAGCAAATGTTAGTTTCAAATGGACATAACCTATAAAATTATTACCTGAGGTGCATAAAGCCAACCAAGTGCCCCCACTATTAATCCTCCCAAGACGACTCCCCCAATGAAGATATTGGTGTTGTTTGGCCTTCTGCCATCACTGCAAAAGTTCCAAATCTTATTTGTCTGTCTGATATTAGGGTGAAATTACATGACGTACCAAAACATGAAATTGGATGCAAATAAAGAAAAAAGGGTCACAAAGAAATAAACAGAGGCAGTGTGGAACCATAGAAATGTGCTGTAATGAAAAGTTTTAATGCGCCCCTTGAGGAGATCTGCAATTAGGACGCATAACTCATTCCAAGGCATGTTTGAAATGAAATAGGAGTGCAGTCTAAAGTTTGATAGTCTTCAGTTGTGTAAAACAAAGGATGTTCCATTAACTGGAAACTAAGTACTCACATAAACATATTGTTTAGCCAATCAAAGATCCAAGCTTCATATGTTTTACAGTGTTCTTTGTTTCTTTCTACTCTTCTCACTTTATCAATTTGAGCAGAGGATGAATGAGATCCAAAGATTGAATGCGTTATGCGCACAGATATGCACAAACTTATGCCTGCATTGATGTGGATGCATAACCCTCTTTCTGAACTTGCCCACATCACAAGGCACACCCTATTCCAATATGTCAAACTATTTGCTTCTAAGATGAAAATCCTTTAACATTTTAATTTTTTTCCTATTGAAATATCAAGCTAAAAGGTCAACTCCTCTAATAGTTTTACAGCTAATGCTTCATGAATTGATTTAGAATGAAATAACTTAAATAGCAACACTATCAGGTGATGTCCGTAAATCATCTAATATATCTGATTGAGCATTGAAATTGTAGAAATAAATATTATAACTGAAGGAAGAAAATGTCGAGAAAAAAAATCAAGAACCTGAAGCTAGCTCGAACTGAAAGCCCTCTCTTGTGGTTCTCAGTGAATCTTTTCGGGTGAATTATTCGCAGCGATGACAAGTTACTTGAGCCGATAGTTACAAGAGCCTGCTGTTTTAATGGCTTCAAGGGGCAACCTTAGCCAATAAATAAAAGAAAAAAAAAAAGAAAAGACCATAAGAAGACGCAAACAAATCTCCAGAGGAAAACACCAATTATAGATGAAAATGAAAAAACTGTGGTCGAAAGAAGTTAAAATCTAGAGTAAGGAATTACAATTCACTCTATCTATCTACATATCTACAACATACTAAACTAATAAAACATCAGTCAGTGGTTGCAGAATTTGTAACAAGTGACTATTAATTAAAGATGTGGCTTATCACTTTTCTTATTAGTAATTATTATATTTCTTTACTTATGTCTCATTTCTTTTTTCCCGTGACTTCTAAAATAAATCTGCTAAATTACTAGATTGGTTTTTTTTTTTTTTTGTACATCCTCTTGTTTCGCACTAATAGAATCACGAGAGATTTCGCAGCTTTTTTCGCCAGCAGCGAAGTTCTGGGGCTAATTGCATATTTGGCCAAGGAAAAAAAAATACCAAAACCTCGCCGAAGCAAGAAAAAAAAAATACCAAACTCAAAACGGTAAGAGGGGTGTACAAAAAATACCGAAGCCAAAGTAAATCTAGAACCTTCCAACAACCAGAAATGCAAATTCGTCTCGTATAATCATCTCTTCCTTAAAAAATTCCGTTTATTGGAAATTGCTAGGTCAACAAGCAGAAGCCAAGCTAGAGCAATGAACATTTGTTGATAAATTTGATGCAGTGGGTAAAATTGAGAGAGAGATAAGTACCATAAATGGGCCGGAGCTGGAGATCGGCAGCAGAGATTAAGGAATTCGAGAGAACCACCGCCATGATGATGATTCTTCGCCCTTATTCTTTGATAATTTGAGAAATTTTCGAAGAGAAAAGGGGGGAATTTGAAGGAAAGAGGAATAGACGGGAATTTTTGTAGTTTCTGAGAGATCAACGGAAGCAGGAGCTACTACTCTTCGATAATATCGGAGGAGCTCCTTTCACTCGCTTATGGAGACCAAGAGCGGGTGTACACCCAGTGATTCTTTGAATCCTATGTGGGCCCGGAATTTATATACGAAGAATTAAAAAAAAAAGACCATTTTCAAAAAAATAATTAGTAAAAACGATCTTTTTACTAAATAATTAGTAAAATCAATCTTTTTTTTGCCTGCTCACCGATGCTGGCTAAAAAGTGACCGATTTTACAAAAATTGGTATTGAAAACGCACGGGACTACTAGTCATGTACATTTAACATTCGTTAATTACTTCCTAAGCACAACCCAGAAAACACACGGGACTAATAGTCCTGTGTATTAAACAGAAACAAGCAAGAAACTCATGCTTCTTCACGCCCTTCGAAAGCACGAAAAAATGCCGACAACCCAAAACATCACCCTTCATAGTGCAATGCAGATAACAACACCCCCAGCACCTACAAGAACTAAGTAATTCCTCTTTCAAAATGGCTCATCGTGCAGCCCTAAAGCCTCTCTGTCCCGCAAAAGCCCCGATTTGATATTTGAAAGAGGATCCTTGCCTATTAATTCCCCAAACCCAGCATTGAATTTCCCACATTGAAGGTTCTAATTGAAACTAGCCGCCTTGAATTGGAAGACTAAGATGGGGAAAGGTTTTTGGGTTGAAAAGTGTGATTTTGGGAGAGGATTCAAGAAAAGATGCTATTTTGAGAGATGGGTTTTGGGGGAATTCAGTGGAGTAAGATCTCCTATAGAGAGGGCTTAGATAAGGGATTGGGGAATTGGGTTTTGATGGGATTAGGTGGAGATAAAGCCTTTGGAAACCTGATGCAATTTGCTTTGAGGATTTGGCCATGAGAGAGCGAGTGAGGTGGTTGTTTTAACTAAGAGAATGCTTGGAACTATGTATTCTCAAGGGGAGAGGTAACACACAAGACTACTAGTTATTTAGCAAAAAGGACGTTGTTGATGTTAGTTTTCAAACAACTAATTAAGAGGGGGGTTTAGTTGTCAAGAGTCCTCTAACTCCTCCAAATGTTCAGTTCCGGAGCAAGTTGTCCTTCCCTACGCATGTAAGAACTCGTAAGAGGGCGGAGTTAGATCCTCCGGTTGTTTCTCTGACGATCAAGTGAGTATATTGCTTGAGTGGAGAAGAAAATAAACTGTAGAAGTTCTAGAGCTCATGGAGCAGGGAATTGCTTACCTTGGTGCTGAGAATAGTCCCCCTATTTATAGTAATAGTAGAGGTGCGGTTTGGTAACTTCGGCCGAGTATGGGCTAGCAGCTGAGGTAGTACTTGCTTTACAGGTGTCAGCTGCCTAGTGACGGGAGTCACTTTGATGTTTAACGTGAAGTGACAGGAGGCACGTGGTGCTGACATGGTATAATGTGTTATAAAGATCTTTAAGGACGGAGAAATGATCATTTTGACCATGCATTTAATGTGATGGCGAACAACTGTCAGCAAGGGGGCTCGAGATATGTCATTGCATTTCTACTCGCCAGGTAGAGGGCCGAGAAGTATCGCCTTTCTAGTCAACCCCAAGAGATGTCTTCCGAACAAGCGGTTGCGTAGGTCGCCTGTGGAGTCGACCTGAGGAGATCGACACGCATCACCTTTTGAGCCAGCTATGTGAGATATTGACCCTTAGAGTCGTCCGAGATGGGGACTTTTGGTTATTTCAAAGTGGTGAAATGATTTAATTAGGCAGTTAATGTGAGACACTTGTCTACTACTGAATAAAGATTATTATTCAATAATTGAAGCACTAACAATAATTTTGCTAATTATTTTTTAAAAAAGGGTCTTTTTTAAAAAATTCTCCTTTATATACACTCGTGCACCAGATTTTTTTGTGACGGGGAAAACCTTGGTCAAGTAGGGCTGGAGCAGGAGCTGGTTAATTGGCCTAAGTTTGAATGACTACTCTCTTGAGTATTAAGGCAACTTGGGCCCAGTCTTTCAGTGGCAGGGCACCTGCTCATAGACTGTTCCATCAGCAAGGACCTCCAACAGACTAAGTAAAAACTTGATTCCCCACTAAGCACCATGCTCACTAATAGAGGACAGTTGAGTGCATGAATGGGGTTTCGAACTCGGGATATTTAGCAAAAAATTTCCTACCTTTCCACCCGAGCACCCCCACTGGGGGTAAATAACTTTTACATCCAAATTCACTCTAAACAGTAGTAGCAGATTGAATAAAAAGAATCCCCATAAGATTTTAGGTGAAGTGAAGTAGCACTCTCACTCTGTAGATCTTCTCTCTCCTCTCTCTTTAATGGCAGTGTCTTTGAATTGCTTGGATTGACAAAGAGGCGGTGACTGTGACTACCTGAGTTGTTGGTGTCTCGATTTAAGAGGAAGGAATCGAGTTGAGGAGAAACCCTAGGGAACGTAATGCTATAGGTTTTGAGGTTTGCTCTTTCTCTTTTGATCTTGTTTAGGTTTCGGTTGAGAGATCTTGAATCATTTTGCTTCCGTGTTTTGATTGATTGATAGGATAGCATTTGATTGAGATTTATGTTTTGTATGTATGATTTATGATCTAGGTGATCGATCTTGAATTTCTTTGAATTTGTATTGGAAATGTTGAGTTCTTCTTGAGAAGATGTGTTGTACGTCACTAATTTTGTTATTGTTTGGTCAGGGATGCACTGACAATTGAGTTCATTGCATTCATTTACATCTTGTTTGCATGGAGATTAATGGATGGAAGTTAAAGTGAAATTTCAATTGCACCTTGCTTGGGAGTTTTTTTGAGGGGTTAGAGGATGGAATGAAATGTTAAATTTCTTTCTATTTTCCTCCCCTCCAATTTGGAGGGTAGAGGACGGAATAAAAATCAATGTAAAGTTTTACAATGTGATAAGACAATTATACCCTTATGACATTAAAATCAATGACTAATGTATACTCACATCCAATATGTAATGGTATTTATGTAATTTTTTACATATTCACTTCACTTCCCTCCTCTTTATTATAACTCTCAAACAAGGTAAAACAAATTTACTTTTGTTCACCTTACTAAACTTCAAAACAATATTTTATCTTTTCACTTTCATTCCCTACATTTTCTTTCCATTCTTTAACTTTCTGTTCCTTTCCTTAGTAAACTCCCAACCAAAGCATTAGAGCTTTTTGAGACTAGATGATTTGGGACTAGTTTAGAGAAGGGGATTTGACGAACGATAATTTCTGTCTTGAGAATTATTTGTGTTAATTCCCATATCAACTAAAGCGAGCGTTAATTCCCATTTATTTCTTATTGGAGGAGTTTCAATGGCTTTTTATAGCCTCCAAAATGAAAAGAGTCATTAGAATGAACTGGTTCACTGTGATCGGTTTGGGTTCGTTAACGGGTTATGGGTTTGGGTTTTAGAACTAAGTGTATAGCTGTCCATTCCTAATAAAGTTACACATATCGGAATATTCCATGGTATTTATAACCTCAATTTAATTTATGGACCAATATCGACATATTTGAGCAATTTAGAGGACTAATATAAACATACACAGATTTAGGAGACTAATACCAAATTACTAATGATATAAGGGGCTGGTATAAAAAATCCTTTTTTATTTTAGTATCTTGAAGTTTACATTTGTTCCAATGACATGTGAAGCCTTTAAGGGGTTGTTTGGTTCTCTTAAAAAGCCCAAAGAAATTCGTTTTTGCGCCTGACACTACCTCCACGTCGTAATTGTAGTTTTCGCTCATTTCTTTTCGTCGCTTTGGTTTGCTCGGGTTGAAGAGGGAAAACTTCGCTGAAAACGCCACCACCTCAGATTTTTTTCTTCCCCGATTTCCTTCCCCAACCGAGAGAAATCGAGGAAAACCCTAGCCGCTCTGACAACTGCCCTCTTGATTCTCTCGGTGATTTTTTCTGGGAAGCTAGGGTTACCTCCTCGCTTTTCTCCTTCCGCCAGAAATCTTCTGTGATTTCTTCGTTGCTGTCTTCGTCGTCTTCGTCTTTCACCTGGATTTCTGTCGTGGGCTTCTTCGTTACTGAAATATTATCATACAACATTTGTGGGTATTTGTTGGGGTTCATGCCTATATGCTCAGGTTTGTGAGCCTGGTTGTGTTTAGGTTCTGACCTGTTCTGTTTTGTGTAGCCTGGTTGTGTTCAGGTTCTGTCCTGTTCTATTTTGTGGATGCTGTATTGTTCAAGTTCTGCCCTGTTCTGTTTTGTGGTTCTGTTCAGGCTAACAATGATGATATTGAACAAGTTCTGAGCCCACAACCATAATTCACATATACATGTGGCTGATTTATTTGACATGGTGTCAAGACATATTTTCAAATGATTTTTTGCACATAAAGTTCATCAACATGCATAAATTATCAAGTTTGATGCGATTTGCTATGTTATATATATATTTATGGCTAATCAGGTTGTTTATATGTTTTTCATAGGTTTCATGAGAATTTTTGGCTAATTCAGGTACGTATTTCATAAATTTATGAATAATCAGATTATTATATGTCTCATTTATTTTTTTCCTTGGAAAACATGTTTCATGTGATTTTTTTCATCTCAAACAGGTATATTTCAAGTCAAATCAGGTACGCAGTTCATAGCAACTGATTTATGTTATTTCAGGTTTTGTATGATTTCATTAATACAAACAGAAATTTATAATGAATTCAGGATATTATTATTTGTTTATGTTACATTCGCATCACGCTTTTATATGATTAAGATTACCTCCCATAACAAGCACAAATAAATTTATCTATAGTGGGGGGGGGGGGGAAACTATTCTCTACCCACTTCAACACCAACCAAACACAAGAAAAATGTGAAATGTCAAATCAACAAAAATTTTCCCTTTTTTCCATGCAAACCAAAAAAAAAAAAAAAAAAAAAAATACATTGGTTTCGCACCATATTTTACGTGCGAACCAAACCAAAACAATCTATTTTTTTGAAAAAGTTTGGAAAACTCAAAACTTGAGTTTCTTTACATGGAATTGCATTTCCTTGTATCTAGGAAACTAACCAAACAGCCCC